GCCAATCAGAGTGCTGGGAAGGGGGCGCTATGCAAATTAACTTGGCGCATGCGCAGGTCGTGGGGCGGCGCCGTGGCCCTCGGCGGCCGCCGTAGCGATGGCGCTGGCGGCGGCGCGGGCCGCTGTGGCGGGTGCGCGGCGGGGGCTGAGGGGAGGGGGGCCGCCATGTTGGCGGGCGCGCGAAATGGCCGCGCTCCCCTCACACTGTCCTCTCCGCAGGGCTCCTGCGGGCCCGGGCCGGCGCCGCGGCCGCGCTCGCGCTCCGCCGCCCTCGCGGCGCCCTCGTCGCGCCGGGCCCCGCGGCCGCGCGGGCGGCTCCCGCGAGGAGCGCGGCGCTGCTCTGCGCCGGGCCGCCCGCCCGGGCCGCCCCCTCCGTGCTCAGCAGGTACCGCCGCCTTCGGCTCCCCGCGTTGCCGGGAAGCGGCTGTTCCAGGAGAGGCTCGCGGGGGTAACGCGCCCATCCCTGAGCCGCTCCTCGCGCCGTGAGGAAGCCCCAGGGGCCGGGGGGCTCGTGGCAGGCTCGGCTCCCGTGAGCGGGGCAGCCTGCCTCGTGTCCCCCGTTAACCATAACGTTAACTAGCRCTTCCTCAGCCCCTTCCAACACGCCACAGCTGCGCAGAATTTTCTCATTATATAGAAATTCCAGTAATTTTTGCTAAAGACTTTTTTTCCTGTGTATATTTTGTATATTTTTCTTTTCCCCCCCCCCGCTGTAGCATCACGCCTCTGCTTCCAAGCATATTCCAGCAGCCGGCGAGGACGCTCACGTACTGTAGCCTACGGAAGGGGAAGAGGAAGACGGTGAAGGCCGTGATCCATAGGTTTCTCCGACTGCACAATGGTCTGTGGGTGAGGAGACGGGTAAGTGTCTTTTTAATGTTCTTATATTTCTCATGAAGCGTAAAGAACATATAGTTCTTTACAGTGATCTAAAGAGACAGGTAAGGGTCTTTAATGTTCTTATATTTCTCATGGAACGTAAAGAACATATAGTTCTTCACAGTGATCTAATTTCCACCTTTCTGTTAAAAGGAAGCAGCTAATGTGGAAGTTTAAGTGATAGTGAAAGAGACTCTTGATTGCTTGAAAGCGGGATGATCTGTGCTGTTTTTATTGCTGTATTTTTAAATGCATTCATCTGCCTTAAAGTTCTTGTGTGTGTTTCCTGTTGGCAGGCTGGGTACAAGAAGAAACTGTGGAAAAAATCAGCTGCCCAGAAAAAGCGCCTGAGAGAGCTGGCGCTGTGCAACAGGACGCAGTGCAAGCTCCTGGATAAAATGACCACCTCTTTTTGGAAGAGAAGAAACTGGTACGTTGATGATCCCTATCAGAAGTACCACGACCGCACAAACCTGCGTGTGTAGAAATGTTCTGCACCCCGCTAGGAAACAGGTGACGTTTCATGGAGCACGGTTTCTTTTATCCGTTTCCAAATTGAAATCTGTTCTGCCTGCTGATGTTCAGAATAAAAGTTGTCTGTGTCATATGGACAAAAGGATGAGGCTCATTGAGCAAAATAAAGGGATGTTCAAGAATGTCTGTGGCAATTGCTTGTGTTTTCCTTGGTAGAGGTTGGGTGGCCTGCGTGTTCTGCAGTCTCTAGGGTCAAGGTTCTTATGAGTGTGTAACGTGKGTGGATGAACACAGCTTGAACACTGCTGAAAGGCAGTAGAAAACCAAACATACTGGAAGTTTTCTAAAGAAACATATCTAGATATAGACTAGGTATATATTGGATATTTATATCCATATCTTTCATAGTGTTAGCTGAATTTAATTGCAGGACTTCTGCACAGGACTCGGTTCTGAGTATTTCCTCACTTCTTTAAGCAAGTTGTACCTTACCAGCATGTTGCAGGTCTGTGATCGTGTGTATGCGTGGAAGGGTCTATTAAATCAACTAATTTCTGCCTTTGGTGAGGGTTAGGTCGTGGGCTTTCTCYACAAAGATGATACCCCAGAAAGTGAGTGAAAACCAGTTGCTTGTGGCAGCAGTTTCAAAATATTCCCCAAGGATTTTATGTCGATGCTCCCTGGGCTCCTATGGGCTGCAGAGCTACCCGCTCAACAAGAGGGTTTTGCTGTACAGGGGGTAGTGTTTCAATGAATTCACTGGTTACTCAGAGTGTTCAGTAGCTGTATTTTTTTTTCCAGTTTGTTACAGAGAAAAGTTCTGAAGGACATGCAGCACTTAGTGAATACATCTATATACAGTTAGCCAGAATCGAGATTAAAAATAATACAGCAAGAAAATGAATTATTCTGGCCTGCCAGATACATTGAACAGAATAAAGATGTTCTCTCATTATTCTTTTAAAAGAAAAGATTAAGACTTTATTCAAGATGTATATCAAGCAGTATAACAAAACCTGCAAAACATCAACCTTTGGAATAGGGTTGTAACGCCCGGCCCGGGAGGCATTGGGTACTGTTTCATCACGTGTCTTTGCTACTGCTCACRGAAAGGAAACACACAAAGTGCACGGTTACGGTTTTAAATAGTTTGTGTAAATGTGAATCCCAGCGTAGTGTTCTCTGCTACTTCAAATATGGTGCAAGATGCAAAACTGGTACCTGGGACAAACAGCCAAAAAGGTGACTGCGATTGACGAGCATTCAGTCACACACACGGATTTCATCACCACAGGAGGACAGTGGAAGGCAGCAGGTTGTTTACACGAGGCTAAGGAGCCTTGGTATCTATCTGAGCAGCTTTCTCCCCTCTCATTAGGAACCAGTAACCTGATTTTCCTTTCCTTTTGTGCTGGGTTTGCACTTAGACCTTTCAGATCCATGTGGGATTGTTTCAAGGTTGAGACATGAGGTCTTTCTGCCCGTGCTTGGTGTGACTCTGCGGAAGCAGGGAATAAACTAGGACAGGAAGAACTATAAACTAGCAAGGGCTCAGCACAGCCCTCCCTCTCCTCGCGGGGCAGCAGGGGGTTGTGCTGAGCCCTTCCACGTTCATCCTGCCCACAACCAGGTGGCTCCATGGTCTTGGCACGGGGTGGCTCCCAGAGCCGCCGTCCAGAGCTGCAGCTTCCTCCAAAGCCTCCGTTTTCCCGGCGTGCAGCACTGAACATTTCAYGTGAGACTCCCTTAACCCTGGCTGACATTGTCCTTCCTAGGGCTGATTCCTGGGTTTGTGCATCCCAGGGTGTCTGCGGAGGCGCTGGGAGGTGGTGCCCGCTCTGCAGGAGTCACAGCCTCTTTACAGGGTTTCTCCACCTAAATTGGGAATCCCGGGATCCRGCTGCCGTGAATCCTCCCTCCGCTGGAGCCCTGGAGCTCGCGGTAGCCGCGAGGGGTCAGCACCGGAGCGGGATCCCACTGCGCAGCCTGGCTCCCTGACGGGCACCCAGGGGAAAAGCTGCAAGGAACCCTCCTGCCTGGTGGTTTCTCTGCACAAACAGCCAGGCAGCAGCAGGGCTGAGCTGGGACAACAGCTGTAAACAACCTGTGTGAGGAATATGGGGAATTAGAGGGAAGTGGCCACTACTCTGTCTACAGAGCACTACAGCACTAAGTGTTTCGGCATTCACATTTCCTGTCTACCTATCTATACACAAATATACAGCTCCGTTGATAAATTAATACATTTTTGCCAGAGATATGAAAAGGTTTTTTTCTCACTTATACAATGAGTGTTCTGAGATATAAGGCAACTCCCTTGTCAACAATTTCACCTCAGCACTTAAGAAAACCTCAACAGTCAAGTTAACAGGAAAACAGCAGGTTAGACTCACGTTCAATAATTCTAGTGAGACATCATGTTAATAAAGTGTGTCTGAGAATAGAATTTGATGTTATGTAGCTCTATGTTGTTCGGGGTTTTTTTTTGGCATAATCAAGTGCAAACTTGTCAGCTTTTTCTCTCTTATAGCCGCCTATTGCATAGCAGGGAAATACAGCTTGCCTGCAACAGGATTTCATCTTCTGCTAACACTGCAAGCAGTTCTTCTATTTCTTTTTAATGTTCACCAAAAGAAAACAAACTCTAAAGCTGCTTAAAATAAAACACGCAAGGTGAGTTCCTCAAAGCTTTTGCTGTGCATCTTCTAAGGACTGACTCTTTTGCAATTGCCTTTTAGCAGATTTTGTTTTCAGTTTGCCTCCTGGACACTTTTTCCTTATCCATTTCAAAATATGATTGCGTTAGCACATATAAAGGAAAGAAAATTCTCAGGTAATGGGGGCCGGATATTGTAGCAGACACAGGAAATACCTGCTTGTTTTTTCCCACTTCCCAGCCGGGTCAGGTAAGGGCTTGTGCGTGCGCCTGGTTTTATCTCCCTTCCCCACATGCCCTGGGAGCCCTGGGGACCAACTCGGGCGCCCTGGGGAGGGACAGCGGGGCTACGGATTCATACCCGGCACAGAAACGTGTTGAAAGGCCACTTCAGATCTATTTGGGAGCCTCATACACTCCAGCTGGGCCCTGGCCTCCCAGACTGCTGCGCGTGCAGGGATGAACAGCGCTATCCCTAAGCGTGTCCGTGTGCGATCCGTCAGGGACGTGCATCTACATGATGCTAAATGTCTTCCTAGTCTRTGGTCTATGAGGGAGATCCAAGAGCAAACACAAAAAGTCACGTATTTAACTGGTGTGTGAACTTCACATGCTTAACACTTACAAGAGACACCAACTTGAAGCACAAATACACAAATCCTACGACGTCTTCCTCTTCTTTTATGTTTCTCGTTTATATATGGATACAGATAGACCGTTCGAGGCGGTTCGGGTGGCCCTAACCAAGCGCCAGGCCACGGGCCAAGCCTCAGAGCCTGTGCTCCGCTCTGCTCGTGGGAGTTAAACCCAGGCAACGCCTCGGGACAGCAGGAGCCTGGAGCTGACACCGTTACGTGCTGGGCAGAAAGGTGCCTTTCCCCCAGGGAATAAGTCACTGAAGTCATTGCAGGGTTTGTTGCTGCAGCAACCACGAGCCCGGCTTGCCCAGGCCTTAAACCTGGCTCTAGAGCATTTGTGACCAGCAGCACAAGCTGGTTCTTGCAGCCTCCATTGGTTTCCACACAACACTCTCTTGGTTCAGGCTGATTAAAATTAAGACTCCCCCTTCAGTGCCTTGTGGAAACCGTTAATTTTCTCTTGCCCATCTCTTCCTCATCCTCTCTAAGTGGCTCTGTCTCTACATTTTTAGCGCAATGATTTTCTCTGAATACATGTGATAGCTTTGCAGAAAGAGAAATGGAGTTGCAGCGTCCGCTAATCGATCGTGGGCATCTTTGTACAGTCACAATAATGCAGCACTCGCTATGTCACTCACAGTCCTGAGGAGGAAGGGAGGGAAGAAAAATCCATGGCTTCTGCAAATCCACCTCATGAACGGTAAAGCCGTAAGTAAATGCACTGTGAACCACCGTGAGCGATTGCTTAGTTTTGTTTGCACTGAGCATTCCCCGCGCTAGAGCTATGCAGACACAAACGGGAGTTACAAATGTACAGCCTTACGGGGTGGGTGTATCCACGAGGGGAACAGGGGCCTGCACCCTCGACAGACCATCCCCACCACGTCGCGCGCGGAGGCTTCACGGAAGGATACGGAGAGGGGAGCGAGAAAGGCCGTGGCTACCAGGCCGTACAGCAAAGCACATCCATCCCGCTGCTGCTTCCTACATTGTTAACACGTAGCTCGTTAAGGCAGAAGAGAGACATTCTGTGGATCTTGGTGCTATTGGCTCATTGCACTCACATTGTTTCGGTGGCGGAGGACGAGGTACTTTTCTTCCTGAAGCGGGATCTAAGGGTCCTAGGCGGTGCCTGCAGGAGAGCAAGAGAGAACTTCATTAGTGCATAGGGAAAAGGTTGTTCTTCACGTGGTGGTAATTATGCTGCCTCTAGTATGAAGAAAGAGAAGTGGATCATTAGCCCTGGAGCTCATTAATAAATGACCAGCTGAGGACTGCCCCTTTTAAGAAGCTGCTGTAGGTTTCTATCCAGGTCACACCACCACCACCTGCCTCCCTGGCACACGTGATAAAGGTTGGTGAAGGTGAAGGTTGCTACTAATGCAACGGGCTAAGGAGCCAGGACAATTTACAGCAGCCTTTGGATCAACAAATAGGTGGTAGAAAGTCACCTCTACTGCTTCCCATCCCTCCCCTGGGTGTCCCAAGCAGCTCCAGCATCTGAGGGCACAGCTCATTTGGGCACTACAGGCCAGAAGGGGTTCCAAGGTGGCATGACATGGACCTGAGTTCTCACAGGACGAAGAAGCCCGTAAGAGCAACATATACTTCTCTTGGGAGAGCTTTGGCACGACACTGTGTCTGCTGAGATTCACAAACAAGTTATTAAAAGACATTAGTGWGGAGCATAAATCCTGAATGGAGATGCCTGTCAGAGCATCAAGCCCCGCACCATGAGGCCTGGTAAGCCGTTCTGCTTCATTTACACAGCATAAACCTATTTACCTGTGAGATTATGGCAGTGTTCTACCCTTCAGCAGCGAAGATTTAATCACTTCTGTTCTAGAGGACTCCCCCATCTGAGATGAAGCTGCATTTTGTCCAGATTCTTGTGATGGAGCCAGGCATAAACATTCGTACAAATAAGGAACTGCAGCGCAGCGGAGTTTTGCTTAGGCTGTAGCTGGCTCCCCATAAACAAAAGAAGTTGCTGGCAGAGAGGGGATTAAATCCAAATCTGCCCAGCTTCCAGGCCTGCGTTTTTACCCAACTTCCCACTGTGAATCCCCAAAGCTGGGGGTACACCCAGTTGGGATGGATCCATGCAGAAAGGCCCCACTGGAGACCGGCAGAGGAAGGAAGCTCCGGAATGGTCAACGATCCTGCACCACCAGACTCCGGAAGYGCCGGCTCCAGGTCCCCACCTGCCAGCCAGGAGCCCTGGGACACAACTCGGCCACTGTGGTGGTGCCTCCTGCCCCCTTGCAGCACAGCAGCCATTAACTGCACATCAGCTTCTGCACCTCCTAACACGGTCCCCGGTTCAACCCCGCTTTGAAGTCACTGGAAAACTCCCGATGATTCCAGGGGGTTGGCTGGGTGTGAGGGACCCCACTGTGCATTAGGAGCCCTTGGCTGTGGCTTCTGGCTGTTCTCACCACAGTTATCCTGCCTCAAAAATGAGAATATATTTTCCTTTATAGAAATGAAAACCCACCTAATGGTTGGTATCTGAATGTTCTTACTGAAATACTTGCACATTAGCATGTGGTTTAGAGCGGGATAGCGGGATCCAAATTTTGCAACTCAAATCCATCTCTGGAGCCCTCTGTAACTATTATTTGCACATGCACAGAATTCCAGCTTTGATCACGGAACCCACACGTGTGGAAAAATAAGTGTACCCATAGCAAAACCCACCCCTGGAAGACCAGAAGCACATTGCTGAGAGTCAGTGTTTCTGTGCCAAAGAATTCAGCTGGACATTCCAGGAACTTCATAGGAGACAGAGCCCTGATAACATGGAAGTACCTCCAGGGGTTGAGCCTTCTTTGGGGTTTTTTTGTTTGTGGATGCACAGTCCAATAAATCATTCTCTTCATCGTCTGAGAACACAGAGCCTTTTGGTTCACAGTTTGCCTCACGGGGCTTTTCATACTTATTGTCCACCTCTAATTAACGTGGCCATTTGCAGTCTAAACGTGAAGACAAAGGATGTGGAAGGTCAGCAACAGCTTGATTCCCGTTCCAGCAAGCCCCACGTCACTGCAAAGCCATGCACCTCCGGGGTTAACAGGCACCACGGTCACACAGCACACGCTAGTAAGAGCACTTGGGGGTTAGAAACCAAAAGGCCGCAGCTTTGAATCCACTGGATTATTTTACATAAATTTTAGACTCAATTCACAGCCTCTGATGTTCTCTCTTTTGACTCCTTTAGCAGATCTTTGTTTTTTTTTTTTTTAAGTTGGGTTCATGGATAAATGAGATCTCCTTAATTGTCAGTCTCATCCAGAGCTGCTGCATCTACTGCTTCCAGAAGGAGCGTTCTCTGGAAGACACCAAACGGGAGCTGAAGCTCTGCCTTGGGTGCAGGAATAGGCAGAGCTAAGCACGGCAGCACTGACTGACCTAACACTGAGGGAATTCCAGCCAAAACCCCAATTTAAGACCCACTGAAGTTAACCAGACCTCTGTAGAGAGTTTCTCATCAGTAAGGTTCGTGTTTTCTTCCTTAAATTGACAATTACACTTCTTCCATTTTGAAACACCTCAGGAGTGGAAGTGTTGCTGTCTGGATGGCATCAATCACAATGATGGGCTCTCTATTTAAGACAGCTCTGTAASAACATATATAAAATAGTGCTTCATACTTCATGTCTCAGACTGGCAGCAAGTCTCCACTCCAAATGCTCTAAGAAGAGGATTCTTAAATTCTTAAATAATCATTACTCCATTGGGATGTTCAAAGCGCAAAAGTGCTGAATTCTCAAATTGCTCCTTAAATTTGGTAATGGAGAGAGGGAGAGGGGACCTGACCTGCCTACAGCAACATCACAAGTCAGGAGTCGGTCAGTGGGGCTCTCCCCAGGGCCAGGCTGGAGTCAAGAGCTGGACGCTCCTGGCTGCATATGGAGGCCTGAACGCTCCTGTCTCCACATGGAGGCCACAGGCTGCAGCTGCGGCTCCCGAGAGCAGCGTCCTTGGCCACCGACCCACATTTCTACCTCTTCAGCATCATTTGTGGTGCCGGGTTGGACGACACTGCCACAGGCTTTCAGGCAGAGCGGGACATTGGCCTTTTCCCAGTTGCACTGAAAATGCCGATACTCACATTGCAGGGATGCCAGGGACAATTGCTGAGTCGGGGGGTTTCTGTATGTGACTGTGGTGCTGTCCGGTGGGCAAGATACTGAATGTTGTTTAGGCCACATGGCAAATCAATCCAGGGCCATTTGATTCTCTCTTTTCATTCAGGAAGTGAAACACCCAGGGAAAGCCCAGCTTAKACTTTCCTGCTGTGGGAGTTGGTCCGAAGGAAACAGAGTCAAGCTGCCTTTAGACGTGGTTTGCTCAGAGCCTAAACCAAAGAGGCCCCAACCCRCAGCCTCAAGGCCCAACGCAACCGCTGGTGCCAGCGCAAGCGACTGCTGCCGGCTGCTCCCTCCGCAGAGGGGCCTGGGGCCCGGACCCCCGGCCGGGCGGCTGTCTCGCTGCCCCCRGCGCTCGGGGACGCCCAGTGCAGGCCGAGCACTCACACGGCGCCGGCTCGGCYGCCCGGCGGGCACCCGGCCTCTGCTGCGGCCTGCTCCATCTCCATGTGAGCAAGAACTTCTTCGCCGTGAGGGTGACAGAGCCCGGGCACAGGCTGCCCAGGGAGGTTCTGGAGTCTCCTTCTCTGGAGATCTTCCAAACCCACCTGGATGCCGCCCTGTGCCCCGTGCTCTGGGTGTCCCTGCTGCAGCAGGGGGTTGCTGGATGATCTCTAGAGKTCCCTTCCAACCTCTGGGATTCCATGATTCTCAGTGGCCTGCCCAGCCAGGCTGCCAGCCTGAGGTGACAGGGAGCAGCTGCCTCCAGAGCAGCAGAAACGGGCCGGGACTTCCTACAAGTGCCTTATTCGAGGTTCCCCGGTGGCACTGAGTGTTTTTGCCCCCCATTCAGCAGCATTAGGAGAAGCTGGAAGGCAGGGCAGGATGCATTTCCTCACTGGRTGAATATCAACCCTGAAGCCCTGGGAATGCCGTTGCTGCGCTCCCCTTACTCCTCTTCCCATTACTAACGCAAGCGGGTGGCACAGCCCCTACCCAGACAGCCGCCCCTCTGAGCACACAGGGRCCCTCCCTTGGGAGGAAAAAAGACATTTAAGAGAAGTGTGGGGTGCTGAACAACCAGGGTTGGACAGAGCATCCAGCAGGATCAGTGACGAGACCGGAGACACAAGCAGCTGAAGCTGGGAACAGAGGGTCAGGCAGATGTGCCCCTTTCCCTTCATCCTCCAGCCTGCAGCTCCGCTGGAAAATGCCACGGGAACAACTGCCAGCCTGGCATTCCTGTTTCCAGGAATCCCATGCTTTTCCAGTGTACATCGCTTTCTTTGTTACTATTCTGTCCTTTGAAGGGATGCTGGGCAGACTGTCGCCCAGACGGCCCTGCCAGCCACGTCTTCTCGCTGTCTCCAGGACAGACCAGTCTCCTGCAGCCTTTTCCACAGTTCCCATCAGGCTGAGTGTCGTATCTGTGTCCAGGAGCTGCTCCATTGAGGTCCGAGAGCAGAGGTCACTCTCCAAGCCGCGTGCCTTGACTCCTGCAGCACAGGGTTTGTGATGCCCACTGGAAATGGCCTGGGAACCTTTTTCTCTCCTCCTTTATCTCAGTGTGGATGAGGCACCAAAACCCACCCAAATGGCAACCAGGTTTGCTTCAACTTTACTGAACTGGGAAATGGAAGGAGAGGCTCTATCCCAGGCCTTTCCAATACGTCTCTGATCATGGCTCAGAGCAGAGCTTGACGGCCCAGGGCCCATCTTTTGAGGCACTCAGTGAAAAGGGAAGATTCCCATCCCCTAAGGGGAATCATTCAGAGAGGGCACCTGTGTTGTGGGCAGCCCCATCCTCATCTGGATCTGGACTGCCAGACTTTGTCCTGCATTCGTGGAGCCCACAGCCTGGCACTGTAGTGGGACTGGAGCAAACTTATCTCAGAAGGGCTGCAATGAGCTAGCGCCAGCTCTGAGGATGATTTTCTGGATAAAACTCAGATTCACACTTTCCTGCAGCAGGAGAGTGGGTATTCTGTAGTAGAAAAGAGGTGCAAAGCAAAGAATGACAAATATCCATGTGAGGAATTAG